GCGAGAGTATAAAATGTTCGGTTACATCCGAACTTAGCCCTTCCTTACTTTTTTATTTTTATCATTGATTTTTTACACTGAAATTTCAGCTTTGAATTTGCTGTTAAAAAGGATTTGGTTTTTGGTAACGTCGGGCCAGTGTTGAATTTTGGATTTCGATTTTTTTTACCATATTTTTTGTGAATTATTATGTATCTACTCAAGCCACAATAGTAGTTGAATCAGCTCAATAAATCCAACTTCATTAAGTTTTCCCTGCTGTTTAATAGAAAGGAAATACTCTTCTTCATCGAGTGGTTCACAAACTTCACAAGAAATAGGTTGCTATTTTCCCAAACTAATATAACCGAGTACGAAACTTAAGAAAGCAGATATATTCAAACCAATACTCGTATTCCAGAAGTAATTAAAAGAAATTAATGATATTTATTACCAAAAGAAAATTGTACCAGCTATCTACGATTTGTAAGAAAGCAGATATATTCAAACCAATACTCGTATTCCAGAAGTAATTAAAAGAAATTAATGATATTTATTACCAAAAGAAAATTGTACCAGCTATCTACGATTTGTAGCGAATCGCGAGTTTCGAATCGAACAAACAACTCTGGCATAAATCAAATAAAAATCAAATAAAGAACAAGTATACTACTATAATGTATTATTCATGTAATTTTTTGTTTTCAACTGGTTCACTTTCACAGCACAGCTTAAACCTAGCAAACAGAGAAGTGGCGTAACGAACATGACTATTGATTCTTGTTTTATTTATCCATTATGAATAGAACTCGGTCTACCATATAAAGGCACTTTTGCATTAGATTTTATAAACTGCGGTAGGCCTTCAGCGTAATCATAATCCTCATTAATACTGCATAGATTTCTATATAAAATGCTTCTTTTTGATAGACATTTACTGGCTGTTGGGCCCACAGAATATAGTGGTAAATTGTTTTTTAAATCGCTTGCATAAAGGCAAACCAATATAAGCGTTTCAGTGGCATTTTTACTCTTCCATTGCGACATGGAGCAACCAAGGCGATTATTTTCCGCTTCAATAATGTGTGCCACATTTAAAACTTTTCTATAAAATTAAAGAAAAATTAGATACAATTT